CTCAGTCTGCATGAGATCCGGTCTTTTTAGTTGTGCTTGCGTTCACATTCATTATTTGAAATGAAACGATCCAGACGTATTATGCAAATGAGGAACGAGAAGGGAAAAAAGAAATTATAAAAAATAGGGCGAAAAATTGACAGACTACGTCATAGCTCATCCTGTGTACAGAGCGATATCCTATTGTGTTCGACTCAGCCTGACGGTGCACAATAAAGTTCGTCTATATCAGCTACGGCAATTTTTTCAAAAAATCCTCGTCGAAACTGGAGTAAAAAGTTAGAGGATATTGGAAGCGGAGAGAGAAGAAAAAAGCGGAATTTCCGGGACAGACTCGATTCATGAAATCGAGGACACATGTAACAATGCTCCGACGCGACGTTTTACTTTCGCAGTACGGGATCAAATTACTCGAATTATATATATACGAAGCGGAAATAAAATTTTTACACATAAAAGACATGTATGCCATGATTAACTTATTGCGTTCATATTGGGCTTCTTTTTCTCTCACTGTAGATTCTAAATCAGGAGGTCAATAAAGTGATTTTTTTATCCATTTCGAGTAAGTATGGAAAGTGAATAATCTTTTATTTTATGTGTAAAAAACATAAAAAAAGAAAAATTTGAACTCGGTCGCGGTTCCTTGAAGGGGCTACCTGGTTTGGAGTGAAATGAAAAAAGTGAAAACTTATTGTACAGAAAAAAACAAAACATTCTAAAAATCTTATTTTTCTCAAAATATATAATTATTTAATTGTGTGATAAAATAGAACGACAATGCAATGACATGGACGTTTGATGTATAAATGATAACTATTTTCTTTATACCCTAAACCATACATTTTTAATAAATAATATATCTTTTATAATAATTTAATTTGAGGAAACACAATGATTTCAATTAAAAATAAACTTTCTTTATAATGACATAAATTTACCAATTCATAATTTCTTATCGTTTAAGAACAACTTGGATTTTTCATTTTTGTTTCCGACAAATTGTTTTGACTCTACAACGTCAGCAATTTTACAAGAATATAATATGTGGACATCAATTATTCTTATAGATTCCTAATTACTTCATATTGTTTTTATATCAAAATTGATAATTTTTATTTACATTCATGATATATCAAAATTCATGATATTTTTTTAAATGTATAAAATATATATATTGTACAAACATATAAACATTGAAATTGATAGCATTAACCGCTTTTTTTCTTAAAAAAAAAATCGTGAAAATCGTTGGCTTTAACGCTCTAAACCAGGCGGTCTCTCAATAAATAAATAGCGATCGATATATATATAACACAGAATAAATATATGTATATTCGACGTTCTTTGGATACGATCTCCTTATTAGTACTACAAATACTTTAAACTTCAAAGCATTTGATTCACCAATAAAAAGAAAAAATTTTACTGATGACCGATCAAAGAATGCTTCAAAGCATTTGTAGCATCAAGTGAACCGTAGCCTCTAACATCGGGTGATATTTTGTACCTAATAACAGTTGTGCCTTTTTATACATTTCACCTTTATACTCCGTTACTTCCAGTAAACTCTATAACATATATATATAACATACTGGAGCGAGCCATCAAGGAGTGTCTCGATTCTCAAACAAGGACACTCTAATGCAAAGTTGGTACTGCATGTTTTCTTCGTCAGAGATTTACTGATTGGCTATTACTGTTTAACTACGATAAATAGAAGAGTCAAAAAGACCCATACTTTTTACCTTCTTTTTCTCTCTCTCTCCGTCGGGCCGCAGTTTTCTATTCAGTTCAGTATAGAGAAGGTTCACTGCAGTATATTACAGAGCTCACTGTAGGTTAATTCGATGGAGAAGTAAAGATTCGTCATAAATCGAGGAAGTAGAAGAATAGCAGTGCTGTAGATAACGGTGGCGTTGGCCGATAACGTGCTCCAATTCTTACGCGGCCCATCGGAAGAAAGATTAGTTATCGAGAAGGATCTCGGGCACGAGGACACCACGTGCGAGGGTGCAACTGATGAGGGCGGGAAACGGTGCCTCCGATGGTGATCGATAGCCGGGCGGCAGGGGGTGGAGAGATAGAGTATCGCGTGTATCGACGAAGCGTTTCGCTTTCCTTCGTTGAATATATTCGCGCCGATCCGACGGAACCGCCGAAGTGTGCTCCACGCGCATGCACACCGCGGACGGTTCCTTCGCGATGACAGATCGAACGAGCAGTCGGCACTGAAAGTGTTTCGCGAGCCGCGCGCGCGCGCGCGCGGAAGACCGATCTCTCTGTTATTTTCTTGCCGCTTGGCCGATTCCTATACCGCACGTGTCTCACCTCGTGTAATATAGTTTCGTCTGCATATTCATCGCGGTCCTGACGCTCCACGTTCTCGCGCCACGTTTGGGTTTCTCGCTTGGCCGATGCGCTCGGTAATACATAAGCGTCGCTCGCTATAATATACGCGCGAGCCCGCGCAGCGATTTCCGCCGTATTGCGCTAATTTAACGGCACGTGCATCGGCACTTCACTTGTCGGGAAGTGTCCCAAACTGGGATTATCGCTGGACGGCAATATTGAATTGAGATGCCGCAGCTTTCGATCGTCCGCAACGTATAGGATCACGTCTGTTTGTCGCGACGTCATAGGCGATATTTTTCTATGATTTGAAATGCCGATGAACGTCGCTGATATAACGCGGCGGTCTGCAGAGTACATATTGCTTACAATTTTATATTATTGTGCACATAATAACGTGATAATCAAAGGTATTTACAGGGTTATTAAAAATCTTTGTTTTCCACTTTATGCTTATTATACTATATTATCAAATTATCACCAATTGATACTGGCACAAGCATCTATTTACTGCTTTATCACATATATTATTATGTTTTACACAAAAAAAAGATTTGTTAGAACAACATTTTATTGATTCAAATAGCAAGTCTACAATATGATACGCGGACAGTCAGTTTTTTCTATGTTAAAGCTATATTATTAGCAAAATAATACAGTAAAGTTGTACAGTTAAATAAAGTTAGCAATATAATCGTATTTGATATAATAGCATAATGTCAATGCGGCAAAAGATAACTTTCTGTAACAATCAATTCAATATACAGTAAATCAAATTTTTTTAAATAAAATGTATTAGCTAAGATAACGTATATTACTATAATGTAGAAAATTTATTATATCAGCAATTTTAATTGTATCAGAAAATTCAGTGAATTAACATAATTGCTTATAGACGTAATTTCTTTGTTAAACAATCAAATCTTTTTTATTCTAGATATTGAACTCAAGCAGCATCTATAGTTTTGCTGAATCATCCAATTAAATTTTTTAATTTGTGAATTATACATTATATACAATTTATCCATTTTTCATAAATAATTTGTATTATATTATTTATTATTTATTAATAAATAATTTGTACATAATTTTATATAATATTATAATATCAATATTGAAGAGTTAATCGCTATACTATGATATATGTACGGGCATTCTTCAAAGAATTAAAAGACTTGACTTTCTAAATTCCATCGCGCGTATATTTATAAAGTTTGCATTAAAAATGTAAAAGCTACTACGCAAAATATTTCTCTCGGCGCTTAGAGTTTCCAAATAAGAAATAGGTTAATCGCGTCTTTTCAACATTCGGGAGTAGATTATCGAGGCCACGAGGAGAGACGTTTTTCGCGCAGGTGCTCGCCGGCGCGCGGCGCGCGGCGCCGCGCGGCATACGAGACCTTTCGATCGTGTCTTCCTCACCTGAGAAAGAAGTTTGTTCCTTTACGCCCTTGATGTGTGGATCACCGTCGTCGTCTCGGCGACGGAGGTCGAATCGATCTTGATAGGGAAAAAGAATAGAAAAATAATGCGTCCGCAAATTTTGTGATGTAAATACGCGATCGCGAATTAAACATCCATAAGCCAGTCATCATCGGAATATCGCGAGTGAGTCAAAGAGGCACTAATCGTTTTATTATCGATTACGCCAGTTTGTGATGTATCGTATAAGGTCGCGACGTAAGCTTCTCTCCGTTTCTTCTACTAACCATTTTTTATGTCCGACTATTATCATACGAGAGAGAACTGAGGTTGTGATTAACTAAATCAAATACAATGTGTTACAATCGAGAGCGTTTAATTTGTCAAGATTAGTAATGCCCGGACTGTTCTCAGCTTGACAGAAATAAAAATTATCAGCGGAAAAAAAACGCAGGAGTATCATTCACGTTGAGATTCAGTAATCCGGTAGTCTAACAAAGGACATCTTCTGTGCGAGCTCTAAAGATCCTTTTTAAAACAAAATCGTTTTATTTTTATTTTGCTTTCACCTTTTTACCTCGTTCGATCAAACTTTAAAAATATGATCAAGAATTTTATTTTTATAATAAAAAATACAAGATTTTAAAGATTAGGGAAAATACGTTTTACATTTTACTTATTATAGACGTTAATACTATGTTGCAATGTTTTTCTATTATTTTTTTAATATATTTGAAAATATATAATTATTACTAAATAATGTTTTTCGATAAAAAAGACCAACAATAATCAGTTATATGCTACTTAATCTAAACATTTGTATAGAAAAACTTTCGTGTTCTCCGACGTTCTAAATCGGTTGCAACTTTATTACAAGGTAACAAACTATAAAAATAGTACGTCGCTATACGTCATGTTTCATTGTCAGTATAGGAGTATTATATGGAACTTTAAGTCTGATCTCAACCCCCGCACGAGTTAAATTTTAAACGCGCGGCCGGAATCAATGTCGCGCCAACGCATACACGTGCACCAGCACGACCGTAGGTACGGATGACATTTTTCTTGTCTTGTCTGCCGACAGATATTGATGTGGATGTCGAACATGGTGCAAAAGTCGGGCAACGGAAGCGATGCCGGTCTCCTCGTGCACGCGAGTTCGATCGACGACGAGTCGTTCGCCACGACCTTGACGCATTAGAAGAATTGCGGATGTGCGTCGGGCGCAATCGAAATGTCGTTCTTTGGACGGAAAATGGGCGGCAGCGGGGGCGGCGGGGGTTCCGAACACACCGGTCATAACTTGCAAGACGGCCTCTTTCAAATCGCATCGCAGGCCTGTCACATTCTCGTGCAAGTGAGTCCATCTCTGCGTCGAGATGTTTGTGAATTGTCAAGTATTTTATAAGATATTCACCGTCCGACACGGAAAGATAATTTAAGGATGTATTGTATAATGTATATGTCACACCTCACAAAATAATATATAACTGATATATATACAAATTTCATAGATTAACTGTTCTGTTATATTTGAGCACAATTCTTTTAAAAGTCATTTAACTTTTTCTTTTTAATTCTTTTGTATATAATCACGTTAGTAGCAAATATTTTTAATATTTTTGAACAGCGGTAACTTAACGAAAAATCATCGTATTGAGATGTTTAGAAAAGTATTTTACAGCTTAAAATCTCTACTTTTCAGATCGGTACTTTAGAAAATGATCTTACTGATATTTTTACGGAGTTACACAAACATAAATTAAGATGCGTCAAATTTCAAAATTGTTTACGATATTTGCGAAATTTTATGGCGCGAATTAAAAATTCGCATAAATGCGGTTTACGGTTTTTAAAAGAGTGAATCTAATTATCCTTAATTTGCTTTTTTATTGATCTCTCTGTACGATTTTTTTTCATTGAGTTATTCAACATCGAAGCAAAAAGGGTCCTTTTTGCTTCATTTACTATGCTTCGTTATTTTATTCTTGACACTAAATCATTCAGTATTGTGTAAAATATGCAAAAAAGAGTGAACTATAATTTACAGCTTTACATTCATTTACATTCCAGCAAAACTGGCAAAACCGCATGACACGCATGATCTTTTCATGTATGATTCATATTGTTCATGAATCACGAAACGTATGTAATAGTAACGTTCGAATCAATAAGCAGATGCAGTTTGTATTATAATCTTAATCGATTCTGTCGACATGTCATTATTTACGCATACTTTGTTTTTTATGAGGAATTCCTCCTTTTACATATGTACTTTGTTCTTCAAGAGGAATTCTTCTTTTCACGTTTTTTTAATAGATAGACTAAGAACTTAATTACACTCGCATGACGCAACAGAAGTTATCAGAATGTATCTTGCACTTGCAACTATTTTTGTACTTGCAACATTATGAATTCGAAATCAAACTATCTGCAGCAAAAAAATTCAACTGCCCTCTTGATTTCTTAACATTTGACTTTTAAAGATTTGTGTTAAAGTTTTTGCTAAATCTTAAATTTAAATTGAAATTGATGTAAATTGCGTTTGAAATTAACTGAAGAATACGATTTTGCTTTATAAAAGCAGATACACAGTAAACAAATTTCACGTAAAATTACAATAATTACAGTGGATAATTTTGTGATTCACTATTAAAAGTGATGTTTACATATATTGATAAAATTTTATATACTTTTTTTTACATTACAAAAGTACAAAACAAGCGCGCGCTATTTAGCATTTATATTATATATATGTATATTATATGTAGAGCAAGTTTTTTAATTCGACGATTGATCAATCGCATTGTGCGTAAATTTAATTTTGTTTCGTCAAAACTGTGTTTGCACATAATACGATTAATCAATTGATGAATTAAAAAACTCGCTCGTTTATACTATATCGCTTTCCATTCTTTCTTTGCTGTCCGAACAATTGATTGAAAACAGCCTACGCTATAAGGGATAAAAATAAATTATTTTTCTTCCGTCAAGGTGAACAATACGCACAACGTTTCTTATGGAGGTAGCAATAATGTGAATAACATCGCATATTCGAAATATTCCACGACCGGCAGCACCACCGTTCCAACAACATCGTCCTCGTCGACGAAAGGAGCGACTGCTGCCAAAGCGTATCCGAAATACGCAGAGCCTCGAAACAAAGATCAGGATGTGGTAGTGTTGTTGCCGCATCGTAAGAACAGAGCACCACGACTTAAGCACAAATTATCGGTAAGTCCTTACATCGTTACGCTCTAATTTATGTCATTGTCATGTAAAGGTCTCTAAACGAAAATGTATTCAACTTAATGATTAGAATTTATCAACAATAGTGCTAATCACTAATATGTACAACATACATGACAATATAAAAATACACACGTGATATATTCTGCTGTAGACTGTATCCGAAAACGCACGGCTGGACGTGAATTCTCCGGGAGGTGACGACGACCTAGAGTTATGGGACCAGACCGGATTTATGTTGCGGACTGACGTGGACGATCCTCTCACGAATGCAAAGTACAAATACTTTAATTTAAAAAATTAGACATTATATAGGAGAAAAATAGATGATAAAAAATTTTTTTTTAAATAATATAAACATTTTTTTATTGTTTCATTAATTATGTGAAAATAGTACGTGAACATAATAAAAACTTTCCACTCTTCAAATAGCAATATCCTTGATTGATGAATAAATTATTATTCTACCTAGAGAAAGTTTACTATCTATTCTTATAAACCAAAGTCAAATATATATTAAAGAAGCTACTTAAGATTAAAAAATTTTTGACTGTACAAAAAATGTGTTTCTATTGTGATTAAATCATAATAAACGCTCATATTTTCCATCGAAGGTGGGGCGCGCAGGGTTGGTGCAGACCCAGTTGCATTCCAATAACGATCATATTGATTTTAATCGTTCTGGTCGTACTGTTGCCACTGTTGGACCATGCGGCGGACAAACACTCGTTAAATGCCACCGTGTTAGATTTGGAATCAACGTGCATGGATCATTGCAATTTATCCCTGGTGGAAAGTATACCTGTAGGTTTGAATTATAGCAATAACACAGTGCAGCACGTGTCAACCTACAATTCTTGGATGGATCTCATCGAAATGGCGCAGGACACGATTGAAATTGCATCGCTTTATTGGACAATGACAAGGAAAGATGTATTTCCCGATGACAGTGCTAAGATGGTAAACAGTGCATTAAGTATTATAGCAATATCATAGGATATATTCAATACATTGACATCATCCATTTAACAAAATGTTTCGTTAGGGAGAACAAGTGTTCGAGTCATTGTTAGAAGCCGGAAGAGATAGACAAATCATGCTAAAAATTGCACAGAATCTTCCTTCCCGCTTATCTCCAAATGTCGATACGCAAATTTTGGCCAAAAAAGCTAACGCACAGGTAATATTAGAATATTATATAATATCATATAATAATATTATAATGAACATTATATAATGTATGTATAAAAACACAATTTATCACTAAATTGTCATATGAATTTTGAAATAAATTTGTTTGTACTTATGATATATAAATGTAAACTCATGAGACTAATCTATTGTATTGTAATTAAAAACAAGAGAAATATAATTTTTTTAATTTAAAAAATTTTTTTACATTCTACAAATCGCGTGCCGAAATTTTCGGTCTTGAAATGTAATCGTGAGCAATAATTACTTGCAGAATCAGAGTAACAGTTCAATATTTTTTCTTGTTAATGTCTCAACTATTATTATTATAAAAAATTTAATATTTTTATAAAGAAAAACATCTTTATTAGCATTAAAAATTATTAAATTACTTATCATTCTAATAAATTACGTTTATTCTGATTCTGCTCATGATTGCATTTGAAGGCTAAGAAAATTTTAAGCGCTTTATTAATCTGCTTTATTAATCACGCGACACATAATATGATGTATTTTAATGTAATAAATTTTATTTAAATTTAGGTGAGGAACTTAAATTTTGCTGGATTATTGGGCAGCGGTGTACTTCACACGAAATTATGGCTTATCGATCGTACTCATGTATACGTTGGTTCAGCAAATATGGATTGGAGATCTCTTTCACAAGTGAAAGAACTCGGTTTGATAGCCTTGAATTGTTCCTGTTTAGCGAAAGATTACGCTAAAATATTCGATGTAAGCAGTGAAATAAGTTATAATATTATGCAATTACGTTTTCTATCTTTGAACTGAAAACTGTACTGTTAATTTTCTTTATTTTATAGGTATATTGGAAGTTAAGTGAAGATGGTAAAGTGCCTTCCACATGGCCAGATTCCTTTAGCACAAAAATAAATATTGATAATCCTATGAATTTTACATATATGGATAATAAGTACAAATTATTTATCGCGGTTAGTATCATCTTAATAAACATGCCGTACAATTATTTTTTCAAATTAAAAAATATATATTATACGTTATTATTTATGCTATAAGAATTCCATGTATAACATTTCCATGAATATCTTCATATCTACACGTCTATAATGGTCATTCTTTATGTCTTTAACTATAACCAGAAATTAGTGCAAATGTTAAAAACCAATATGGCTGCATGTCATTATGCGCAATGTTATATAATGTATTTTTACATTATGTATTAATGTTACGTTACAGAGTTCACCTCCGCCATTTTCACCAAAAGGTAGAAGTAGCGATCTAGATGCGATTGTGCACTGTATTGCTAAAGCAGAAAAATTTATTTATATCTCTGTGATGGATTATTTCCCGTTAACGATATATACTCCACAAATAAAGTAAGTATAATATATACAATAAATAAGTGTAAGTGTATAAAAAATACAGTGAAATAGATCGTGTTAATTCCATAGGGACTATTTTTTGTTTTTGTTGAGAAATTCCTAGTTCAATAAAAGTCTATAAATTTTCGCAATATATTGGGTTAAAGAAAAAGTCCTTTTACAAATATAATATATATGTATGTACATACACGTATAGTACACATATAATTCATATTCGAATTATTTAAGCAACAAAGATCCGGCTTCGACCGTTATAGGCTTTTAATTCCTAATTCATATATAGATTAAGATAATACGTAACTTAGTTTTTTTTTGCTGTGGAGAAAATTAATAACAAATAATTTGATTATACATTGTTTTTATAAAGTAACGTTCTCAACCCTAGACACATTAATATTAAATAAATATAAAGATAGTAATTACTATACTTTATATGTATATAATGTAGCATTCTCTTTCTTCTGCTAACAATGTAAGAACCGGTTTATGTCTATATTTGCAGGTACTGGCCTATAATAGATAATGCTTTAAGGGCGGCCGCGATCGAGCGAAAAGTAGAATTGCGTCTTTTGATCTCTTGGTGGAAATACTCGAGACCGTCCGAATCATATTTTCTTAAATCACTGCAAGACTTGACACATAGTTACCCCAACGTAAAAATCGAAGTGGTAAGTATCCTTTTTAAAAATACTTATGAGTGTACGTTTTTTCTGATAACGTTAAATCGTTGAACAGAGGAGGTTTATCGTACCCACTGATCCGCACTTGAATAAAATACCGTACGCAAGAGTAAACCACAATAAATACATGGTCACCGATGTAGCAGCATATATCGGAACGAGTAATTGGTCGGGTGATTATTTCATTGACACAGCTGGTAAGTCATTCAAATATCGTTTTTCACGAAAATAAAATAAAATAAATTAGACTAGTAAAAAACTTGTTATTTTTATAAATGAATTATATAAGACATATATATCTTATATAAATATCTTTCTTATAAAAATACATTTTATAGTAAACATTTATCTTAGGTATTGGTACCGTATTTGAAAGCGTTGGACATCAAAATAACGGCAACATAAGACAACAGCTGGAAAATATCTTCCATCGTGATTGGTATTCCAATTATTCTTTTCCGCTCAATATAAACGAGACTCGTTCTGAAAATTTGTGGGATTTATCGAGAAGTTCGTATCAACATTCATCGTATGAACCTTATATACATGTATAATTATGACAATTGTATAATAGCAATTTTTAATTATAAAACATTTAGGATGTTGTTCCACCTTTCGGTAAACTTCGATCGACTCACTGTTTTACTCTGTTACTCTCTTATGCTCTTACTTTTTTATTTTTTCTTCATCCAGTAGATAAATTACCATACAGTTTATCCGAAAATGGAACAACTCTTATGGCTCTTATTGTTTTGTTTGATCGAGGAGAGTTCATTTACATTTAAATAATTAAAATTATTTTGTGTATTTTTTTAATTATATTTTAACCGTATGCTCTCTTCACCGTCGAACATTTTTGTAAATATTTTCTTAAATTTTTAACAATTTTACAATTCTGCGAAAACAGGCAGGGGATCATTGTAATATCTGAATTTATCGCTATATACATGTTTTCAAAACTCTATACAATCGAAATATTTAGTAATTTTATCACTATTATCAGTAAAATTAGTTAACATAATTATTAAATTATTTTAATTTAATAATTTTCCTCGTTGTTGACATTATCTTTACATATTAAGTTGCATATACATACAAGCCATATATTTACTTACTTTTATTATGAATTTTTTTTATCAAAATAATGGGTAAAACTATTATATACTAGTGTTTAGTTTGTTTAATAATATAAATTATAAATTATTATATCTTTTATATGAACATTTCTTAAAAATTATTATTATGTTATTGATCGTGAACTATTTCAGAATTAAAAATTCAATTCATAAAAGCATTTTTAGTTTACAATAAATTCGATCAGACATTAATGTTTTTCATTTAATATACATTATAGTAAAATATTTTTATACATTTTCTAGTAATTAAATATTTTTTTCAAATTATTTCTCCTTAAAATTTGCATTTTTAAATCTCTCTGGAATCTTCAGAAATTCCATTGATTAAAACAATAGTTGATGATATCAGTTCTTCCTTACTGATCTCTCTTTATCTCACGATCTTCATTATCCATATCGTGCTACACTCGCAAATACCAGATATCGTTTTAACAAAAGACGCATATTATTTAATGAGAAGGGTAAAACGTGCCTTACAGAATGACCTTTGCGATAAGCACGGCGATATTAATCTATTAGGTCAGTACAAAAGTTCTTACCGATGCGGATAAATATATCTATACATACGTCTCTGCATTAATAGTTGTGTACAACTGTTGTAGACAAGCCATAGAAAAAAATGTAGCTTTACATAATATATTACGATGAGCATATTCACCATTGCTTTTCGTTTTCACCAAAAGAAGTGTTGCTGATACACAGAATTATTTATGGTGAAAATGTTAGAACGTATGCAAATTGGTTTAAACGATTTAAAGACGGTGATTTTAATATCAATGATAAAAAACACTCCGGACGTTCTGCAACTGTAGAAGAAGATGAATTGCAGGCAATGCTTAATGAAGATTTAGCCCAATCAACTCATGAGCTTGCAACATAACTGGGAGTTGATCATCCATCAATTGTTCGCCGTTTAAATGCAATGAAAAAAATCAAGAAATGTGGAAAGTGAGTCCTGTTGCATGACAATGCCAGACCACATGTTACTAAGAAGACCAAGGAAGCATTGTTAGAGTTAAAATAGGATGTTCTTCCGCATCCAGCTTACTCACCAGTCCCTTCTGATTATTATTTTAGAATAGATATATTATTCGTTTATATCGATGCAACACTTATCTGGTGTTAGCATTTCTCAAATGTCGAGGATATACGAAAATAGGACGATCAATGGAAAAAGTCATGGAGAACAATGAAAAATATTTTGATTAATATATAACGTACCGGTGTTTTTATTGTAATAAAAAAAATTGCAAAAATTCGGCAAGAACTTTTGTATTGATTTAATACATTCGAAAAATGCATCAACTCTGCGTTCTTCCATGTAACTCGTGATTTCTCTAGAATTTATTCGTTTGTTACTTATGTTATTACCTTTTTACTAATATGTATATTTATTATGAAAAAAAGTGGGACCTGATTATTCCTTGATAAGTAGAAAAAAGGAAAAGAAGTAAAATAGTGGTTTGTATTCCGACAAAATGGCTACTACAATATATCTTGTGCGATACATTTACTGCATTCAGTAGACAAGATAGCTTAGTAAACTCAGTGATTCTTTATCATAAAACCGGTTTTTACACCTTATTGTTAAATCCGAAGAATTAAAAGAAAAAACCAGTCATATTTAAAAAAAATCACTGAGATACTTTTTTACTGAATGCAGCTATATTTGATTGAGTGGTATCCGTTTAATCTTCGTGCACAATTATTATAATATCGCATTTAATTCTGCCATCATTGAAAAAATAAAATAAGACAGGAAAAGACTAATGTTGTCGAAACTTTAATATAGTGATGCACTACCCACAACCCGCCAATTAATTTTTACGGTCCGCTCATGTCGGCTTATATTAAAAAATATATAAAACTACTTTTTTCAATATTAATTCTTATTGGACTGTTTAAATTTGAAACCGAATGAGACAATGCCCTACAGCGGTCCTTAGACCTGGATCACGGGTGCTTCTATAATAATTCCGTGCGAGAACGGAATGCCACAGACCCGGATTCGACTCCCGGCCGAGGTAATATTTTTCGCAATGAAAAATTAATTATTTACAGTTTTTAATAGATTATTTAACATTATTAAGATCGATATAAGATGCGTAAACAGCATCAATAATCGTTATAGTCAATTTAACTCGTGATATTACTGCGGTAGTTTATTAGTTGCGTTTCAAGTCTAAACAAATTCGGCGCGCAATCGAAGAATTACATACGTAGTATATAAATTCACACGCATTTATTTAGAAGCACCCGTGGTCCAGCTTAGACCGTAGGCGTTGTCTCATTTGCTATATTTTCTAATTTCTATTTTATACAATTATCAAAATAATAATGTATGTATTATACATTACCATTTAGGAACACTTCCGATTTTCTCGTATTTCAATTTTGTTCTATATTTTTGTTATTTTTCACACACACACACACACACACACACACACACATATTTGAAGCACTCTACTTGAATAGAATATCATCGGACAAAATTTAACACAAAAGCAAGTAGACTTTGTAAATTAAAAAATGTTTTTTAAAAAAATTGATACACTCAAAAGAAACTTTTTCTGATAGAGACCGACGATATATTTTATAAAATTAAATTAAAATTAAATTAAAAAGTTTTTGAAATATTTTGAAAAAATTTATTCAGATCAAGTATATTATTATAATAAATATTTTTTCACATATAATACAAGATTTCAACATGAAAGTTATCAGTATGTATAACATCATCTATATCCTTTGCAACAATTTCAAACATTTCAATTGTACATTCATATTATTATTGTCAATGCTATAAAAAAATGAATTGTCAAAAAAAATTTCATCTTTATCGTTATATGTGCCGAAGAAGGACCCATGGTCCAAAATGTTCATTTTTTCATTAATTTTTTAATAAATATGTATATAAAAACATTATTTATAATTTCTTCATTAAGCTCGATCACTGATCGTAATATTACATAATTGCTTTGCACAGTGGCGAAAAAAATGTTTCGGTGGGGGGGGGGCTGTAGAAATCAGTTTTTTAAAATATTCTTTTTTATACTAGTGAAGCGTAAACAAAAAAGTTTCGTTTAAAACGTTAAATAAAAATGTAATTAATGTTGATTTATATAACATTTTGTACATCAATTTGATTTTTACATTAAGTAGTCGCCAATAAACTTAAGCCTTTACAAGGCTTGAAAGGTTGTGATAATTGCAGAGGTTTTTTTGTTCTTATTTTTAATTTATTATTTTTAGTTTATTATTTAATTTTTTTGTATTTCTTTAAATTAAAAATTTTTTAATTTAATTTGAAGAAGTTTTCTGAAAAGTTTCAGATCTTTAAATTCAATAACAAAAATGTAATGATATTCATTTATGTACATGTCGTTGCAATATTGCGTCAGACGTTTCAATGACACTGCATATAAATTGTCATAATTTTTTTACTACTACATTTAAAGATCTAAAACTTTATAGAAAACTTCTTCAAATATTCAACTACAATATAACATTAATGAAAATTTTTAATTCGAAAATTCGTAACACAACTTTAACGTTTGAAAAAAAATTCACTAAACTCGACAAAATATTATTAAAAATCCGCCATTTTGTTGTAAAGTGCTTCGAAAATTTCGGAATAGCTCTACAAGCCACAGAATATGTCAAAGATTATAGTGTAAAAATTTGAATAATAAATATTAATATCCAGTTGAGATTTTGCGAGTTTACCGTTCTCCCAACGTCACTTTTTGCGGTTGCACTAGCAGCAATATTTTTTTTCCGTGTAATTTATCGAATTTTTGTTTACTTGTATACAAATACAAAGGAAAATTAACAAATATATTTTTAATACATGATAAACGATATTTTCACAATTATTAAAATTATTCAAAATTTTGGGGTGGCTGCAGCCCAGATAGCCATCCCCTTGGCCACGCCACTGGCTTTGCATAATACGAGCGAACTGTAATTAAAAATTTTTTTTTTGTAAATTTTTTATTGAATAGACGTAATGACGGAATTCATGAAATGAGTGAACGACAATACACTTTATTAGGATAATTAATAGTAGATAATAACAGACGGGCGAAAGCTTTTACAAGATAAAAAAAAATACAACATGACGAACATGCGTGGTTAACTCTAAAGGCTGACTCATATTACGGGGCTGTTCGTAGATTATCAAAGTAATACGTAAGTAGCGCGAACATTTTTTAATATCAAAGCTAAAAACATTATAGGAAAAGTAAATTTTTACACAACAAAATTTTATACAATAAAAAATTCGATATCTTTGCAAAAAATGATCGTGACACTATTTTTCAAAAATTATTTTAAAATTTAGAATGCTTGTCTGTTAAGTTTTGTCTAATGATGTTCTATCCAAATACAGCGCTTTAAAGAATACAACAAAAATATTA